CAAAAAAAAAATATATAAAAAAAAATTAAAAAATAAATAAAAAACTTTTTCTGAACTGCATTTAAATGGAAAATCTTGAAATTGAAAATAAAAATAAATAAAAACAAAAAAGAAAATCGTATTTAACATTTAAGTTAAGTCCAATATTGAAAATGTTTTGGACAACAGCGAGCACGAGTAAACGAGTACGAATACGAATCCGAACACGAATACGAATATGAATACGACTATGAGTACCTACCTATGGGTACAGCTCACATAGAAACGAGTACTCATGCCACTCGCTCACATACACTGACAACACATACAAACACACACACACACAGACACACACTCACACATGTATTTTTGTGTAAAAGTTTAAAACATGAAGAGCAGAAAAATATGAACTACTGATTAATATGAAATATATTGAAATAAAATAATTTCCAAACTAATTACAAAGAAAAAGCTTTTGCTCGTTTCATTTGCCTCTTGCTTAAGTTCAAATCCGTTTTAAAGCTCTCTGCATGTACTAGATGTCGCGAAATATGCTAAAAGCTCGCTCAAAGAGCTTTGTAGGCGTGAGCTTTTAGCCATTTTTCTTTAGTTGCATTGCTGCTGCAACACTTTCGCAGCTTTCTCACGCTCGCAACATGTTGCATGTGACAGCTGTGTTGTATGCTAGAGTTTAGAAGAAGTTGCGAGCGTAAAAAAAATAATAAACTATTTTTTTTTTTAAATTAAAATATGTGTTGAGATGATTATTATTTTAATATGTTTTATTATCATTAAACTTAGCCTATTTAATTTTTATTTATTTTTTTTAAGCAATCGATTGCATGCAATTGAAGCACGCGCCATTGCAACATGTTGAAACACATGCCGCAGTTGCGTTCGACTGAGCGCCTTCATACAGGCTCGCACATGCTCGCACACGTTCGCAGCGCAGCCGCCTCGAACATCCGCCACTCAGTTGACATTTGCAAGCGCGACGCAGCAGTCGCTGGCGACGCTCGATTCGGCATTCAGCTCGGACACACCAGCTCTCGGTTCGTTGTGGACGCTAAGTTAATATATCGCAGTTAATAGCAAAGGCAGCGGCAGTGGCAGTGGCAGCGGCAGCGGCAGTGACGCAGGCAGCGACAGCGACAGCGCTAGCCAACAATAAAAGCGAAAGGAAGAGCAACAACAAATGGTAGCTGCTCCTGTGTGTGAGAGGGCACTTTATTTGTTGTTGCATTTGCCATTTACCATTGTTGTTGTTGTTGTTGTTGTTGCCATTTTACGCTAGCTACTGCTGCTGCTGTTGGTGCTGCTGCTGCGTTCGCCGCGCTTTACATTCTCGCTCCATTCGCTTCATTCCGTTCCACTCGCCATTTTGTCGGCAACGTGCCCTGTGGAAGGTGGACGCGAATTTTTTGTGTGTGTGTGTTTTGTGCTTTTTGTTTTGGTTTCATGTGTGTGCGTGTGCCTGTGTGTGTAAATTTGTGAGTGTGTGTGTGATTTTTTTTTCTGCTGTTTTTGTTGTTGCCATCATTGCTTTAAGTATTTTTAGTGTTCGCGTGCGAAATTCGGTGTCAAAGTGAAACATTCTACGTGAGATGTAAGTTGGAAGAGGCCTTGAAATGTCCTGAAACAGGCCAAACGAGAAACAACAACAAACAAACATAAAAAAGGCAAATAAGAGAAAATCAATGCGCGTGCCGAATGCGTGCGTGTGTGTGTGTGTGTGTGTGTGTGTGCGAGTGTGTCTTTCTATGTGTGTGTGTGTGTGTCAAAGAAAATCCATAAAGCGCGCTGTGAAACTCGTCGCAGTCGAGCTATGCGAATAATTTATAAGATTGAAATTAAAGACACCGAACAGCGCTCTCTCTCACTCTCGCACACTTACTTTCTCTCACTCTCTCTCTCTCTCTCTCTCTCTCTCTATGTGTGTGTGTGAAAGCAACCGCAAGAGGCCAAAAGGAAGATAGCGCAAACAATTTCTTGGCAGCTGCCTCAACTGCAAACGAAATGCCGAAATGCTTGGCCTGGCCCCAAAGCCGCCTCGCCCGCATCCGCATTTCGTTCCACTTCTGTTCTGCGCCTCCCTCTATCTCTCTCACTCTCTCTTGCTGCAAAAATGTTGTAAACATGCGAGGCCGCTGCCAGAGGCGCTGGCAGCATCATACGGAACAGCTGATTCGCCTTTGGGCCGCAGTGCCAAGCGCTATAATATGCACACACACAGACACACACACACACATTCTAACACACACACACACGTGCATCTAGGCGAAAGCAAAAGCATCAGAGCATTAGCAATAACTTTTCTTAAGTGCCAAACAAACAGCAAGTGAAAAATATTATAAAAAAAAAAAAAAACAAAAACAAAATACGGCAAAAGCAATTACAAATCTCAAACCAAAAATTACAACAATTAAAAATCAATATAAATAAGTTACAAAGTATATGAGAAGCTACATAAAGCTGGCCCAAATATTGAGTTGAGTAAGTAAGTAGCGAGACCTGCTGCAGCGAGTGATAGGATAATATCAATATAATCGATCCACAGATTTTGCATAAAATATTATTTTGGTAGGCAAAAAGCTATAAATACTTTCTGTTTATAAGCAAACGAATTATTATGCTAACCGTCAGTCTTTATATAGCAAGTTTATATCAAATACTGTCTCTCTCTCTCTCACTCTCTATAGAGTAGCTTAAAGCAATAGAAAAAATACATATATGTAATTAAATACATATTAAATATGTCAAGCACTCGTTTCATTCTACAGATATTGAGAAAGTTTATAGAGAAAACATCCGTTACTTTCTACATATAACGAGAGAGTTTTTAGAACCAACTTACTCGGGATCGTAATTCCAAGTTGTAAAGAAACACTCAAAACCCTTATGAAAATCTCTACGAATTGTAGACCAACTTATAATCTATTTGTTACATATACTTTACAATAGAATGTAGATAAAAAATAATAAATAGATAGAAGGTAGAAGAAGTAATTAGTTGGCGAATATTACCCATAACGTTGAGGCTAAAGAAATTCTTTCAGAATAGTAGACCCAGTAAATAAGGGAGCAATATATAGCGCATCAAGTTAGAGAGAGTGAATGCTCTTGAACCCACCTGAGAATCTTTAACAATTATGGATCTGGAAATATTATTAGATAGAGAAAGCACTCGGTACATGTAAACCTATAGCAAGCTTAGGTAGCATTCATAGAGGTAGAGCTCTCCTTATAATGTATTCCAACCGTGGCTTATGTAGAAGAAGGCGTGGCAGACCCTATAAAGTGGAGACAAACTTAATAAGCATGATGAGCTAAGTTAATCTAACCCCGGCTATACAAAAACAAGGGAATTGAAATGTCTCTAGTATACCATAAGCAGTAGGAGTATGTCGTTTCGTACTTTATGCATAAGAGAGAAGCATAGAATGAATGATGTAGCAGCTCCGGCAAAGCTTCAGGGTATATACGATTCAGACACTCCCTACTAGAGCAGTCTTACATGTGCTGTAATCAAATATGCATTCATTATTATTTATTCTACTCACATAATCATGGCCTCATGAGGACTGAGGACTTTAGTTTAGCTGAAGCCAAAGAAGATCTAAGAGTAGAGTTTATATACTTATTTTATAGATGACTGTCTATATAGATACATTTACAATTTGACAATATATTTGTATGCCCATCCAACAGTATTTCTGTCGTATTTTTACTGCACTTAATTTGTATCTAGAATCAAAAGAGAAAAACTCGTAAAGCCTTTAAGGCTTGAAATATAGCTGACATATTACGTATACGCAATGCTGGCAGTCAAGCGAAGCGAACATATTTCATTGGCGTGCACTCCATTTAAGCATCTTTGAGATACTTAGTGAAGTCAGTGTGAGCCGCTTAATACACGCAGCGAAAAGCTGTGGCAAGTTCCGAGAGCAAAAAAACAAAAAAAAGAGAACGAAAAAATTGGACAAAAGTTGAGCTGCATTTGGAATGGATTTTCGTCATTTTGTTTTTTTTTTTTTTTTTTTTGCTTTGGCCTGTCCTGATTTCGTGCAGTGTAAACAGCATGAAGGCCAAACGACAGCTGAGCACAGCCTGTCTCTATGCCAATCAACTTAACTATGTTTAACTTTCTACAGCTCTACTCGCAAAGCAGCAACAGCAACAACAACAACAGCTGAAGGGCCAGCCCACGTAGGAGCTGTGCAGCGCCAGTGAAAGTGGAAGAGGAAGAAGAAGTGGAAGTGGAAGCGACAGTAGCAGTGGCAGTGGCAGTGGCTGAGCCAAGTTCAAAATCAACGCCTGACAATGACAAAGCGCTCCACTGGGCGGCCAGCAGCAGCAGCAGCAGCAGAAGCAGCGGCAGCGACGTGGCGCACGCCAACAGCAGCAGCAGCAGGAGCAACAACTACAATCAATGAGAGCAGCACGAGCTGGCGACGACGCTGCACAATAGCAACAACAACAGGAGCAACATCAGGAGCAACAGCAACAGCAATGCGCATTAGGCACTCGACTGCGCTGCCGGCAAGCGGCATATCCTGGCTGCTGTTCGTAATCTGTATGCTGAGCTGCTTGTGCTGCTACACAGGTAATTACCAGCACGCCAAAATGCTTGACACTTGATTAGCATGACATTGCAACTGCAGCAGACACGCCTTACCCCGTTACCCCGTTACCCCGTTATCCCGGCAACACTCCAACCCATCGCCCGCCCCGCCCTCATCACTCATCTCCCATGCCCTACCCCAGCCAAGTTGCCCAAAGTAGCAAATCAGCAGTTGACAGATCCGCTTCGATTACGTGTTTAAGGGCTTATGTGCTTACGTACTTACGTGCTTACGTTATATTATGCTTACCGTTGCAATTGGCTCGAGCTGTGCATCGACTGTTATCTTGTTTATCTTTTAATTTGGTCACACTGGAGTGATTGAATTAAAGTGCTACATCTTGAAATGCTTATACATGCATATCGTTATCGTTGAGTTAAGATGAAGACTTATCGAAGCAGGTTTACTATTTCTACTGTCATTAAATATATAGATATTGTTATACGTCATTGATATAGTCATATCTATACGTCTTTCAGTCTAGTTATAGACATAACGAAGCGAGTTCAATAAAAGTGATCGATTTATCGATATTTTTGCATTCGTAGTGTGACATCTTATATGTCTAATCAAGCTACCTATGAATATTAATATATAGATATTGTTATACGTCATTGATATAGTCATATCTATACGTCTTTCAGTCTAGTTATAAACATAACGAAGCGAGTTCAATAAAAGTGATCGATTTATCGATATTTTTGCATTCGTAGTGTGACATCTTATATGTCTAATCAAGCTACCTATGAATTTCAGCGAATTTTCTAAAAGATTATTATTTTAAATTTATCCACAACTATATTGAATATTTAAGTACAGTGGAGCCTCGATAATTCGTACCCCGCAAAATCAACAACCGCGATAAATCGAAAAAAAAAATCGATCCGCCTGAAATCATTTCGTTCTCAATATTATGAGCTTCTACGTAAATAAAATTTCTTGACGTTTCGAATTATCGGGAATTCAATGTATTTTAATTTCTCTCAAGTATCCATATCGACTTATTGAAATCGATTAAATTGTAGCTAACTTTTACGTCTAATAGATAGAATATCATTGCATATAATAATCAGTCATTAATGCCAGGAATTTGTCTATATGCCTAGCAATATATCGATATCAGTTAAATATTTCTTATCAATAAAACGTACCAACGTTAAGGTAGTACAAGTTGTTTTATATTCTGCCTCTTCTTCTACATATCTATTACACTGCTGTCGATTAGCAAACCGGACGCTGAACTAGCACAGTTATCGACTTATCGAAATCTATATCATCATTGCCAATTGCCAGGGGCAACAACAGTGCGGCTTTCGAGTAGAAACAATTGCTACTTAGCAAAGCCGATAAATACAATAGAGCCAAGTATTTTCGGATGGCCAAGGGTCTTGGCATCGCCGTTATCGCCTCGATTGTGAGGACTCGGCCTTGATACGCCCATGCCAAGACAAAGAAATAATAATCATAAATAATGACGAAAACAATTGGGCGAGAAATATGAGAGAGGCATGCGAATGGCAAGCGGAAAGTGGATACGGAAAATGTATTTGGGGCACGAGCAGCGGCGCTGGCCGTAGAAGGGGCAGGTGCCCAGTGCCAGTGCCAGGGGCGGGTGCTGTCAGCGAGGGGGGTCGCCGATGGCAGGAAAAACAATTGCGGATAGCCTTGACATTGCACATGCAAAGTCGACTTTGGCTTTCGTTGGCTTTTTCGTGGCCATTCGGTTGCCAAGCACCTGACGCCACCAGCTGGTAGAAAGTTGGGCGGTGGGCGTGCCGCACTTCAATTTTGAACACTTGCCCAACAGCGACAATTCAACATTCTATTGCACCACACATCCAAATAAACAATACAAAAATGCACTTCACAATTGAGCTCACACAGAATTATACCCTTTGGCCTCTGTCAACCGCAGAGCTTTGAGCTTCGCCTGAGTTAGTTTGACAACTTTTGTATAAAAGAAAACCGTAAACTAAATTATATTTCAGTGAGAGCCAACAATTTGATGGGCGTATAGGCGATGATTACAAATTTGGTTTTACTTCAGAGTGAAACAAAATCTAAAATTGTATTCAACTTTAAAGCTTTTGAAAGTTTATCAAGCGAGAAACTTAGTGTATAATTTGCATCAGAATAGAAACTTTTAAGCTTTTAGCTACAACTGCAAATGTCTACTAAGTAAAAGCTTTAATGCGCTTTTTTGAAGAGCTAAGAGTAAAGCAAATATTGCAACTTATTTAATTATTGTATAAAAGTACATATAAAATTTTAAGCTGACTTAATTTAAGCATTGTCTACTTCGACTAGAAAATTTGAAATTATATTAAATATAAAGTCTATTAAGTAAAGGCAAGACAGTATTAGTGCAAGCTCCTTTACAGCAGAAGCTTTAATACTTTAAAGCAGGATTCAATATACAAGTATCTCGAGCAAAAGCTTTAAGTAAATTTTTTATTGAAAATATATAAAACCTAATCGAAGTCAAAGTTTCATCAGCTGACTTATTGGCTAACACTGAAATCTTCTCTCGTTTTATGTTTCTTGATAACTTTGAAAAAGCGCATGCTGACACTTAAGCGGGTATGACACTAAAATATCTTGAATATGAAAGTTTGTTAAGTCTAAAATCGAAACGAATATCTTAAATAAGAAATTATAAATATTTAGAGCTCCAGACGTTGTAAAGCTTAAATTTATTTATTTTATTTAAGCTTCAAGCAGCTTAAAAATCTCCCTTTAACTTCCACTATAAATAAGCCATAATTCACCACCAAGACATATATTCATAAAAATCTGACAGCTTCTGATGTATGTAGTCTGTATAGGGTATGCGCAGACCAAAGCGTGCCAAAAAGGGGAAAAGCACGAGCAAACTTTTGCCTCGCTCTTGTTGTTGCTGTGGACGCACATGGCCAAAGTTTGTGGCCAAACTATTTTGGCTGGTGTGGTGTGTGGCATAACGAGTTGTCGTCGCTCCCACGAGGCAGCTCAAGTTCGGCTTTAGTGCTTCCGGCTTTGGCAATTGGCGGAGCTCCTCTCGCATCTCTCACCTCGCTCAGCCAGTCGTCAGTCAGCCTAGCACAATGGCAAGTTTTATTGCTCGGCTCTGCGCAATTGAGTTATGGGACGGGCAGCATTATGGGGCTGGGGATGTCAAGGCAGTGCGATTGATAAGCTCCCCAGCCCCTAGATGGCCAGCTAATTAGTTGGACTTTAGCCAATGTTCAATTACATATTAAAAGCGACGCTCAAGCTATGCTTCAACTGTACACTTAGCAATTCAATTGCCAGACATCTCGGACAGGCCAGGACGGACGACGATAATGCGACGAGCGGAGGCTCAACAATCGGATCGATAGCTCCGACCGGCATCAAATACTAATTACATAGTCAAGCAGTCAAAGGGCCAACACACACACACTCTCTCTCTCTCCCCCTCTCTCTCTCTCTCTCTCTCTCTCTGTCTGTCTTTTGCATTTTTAATGGCACTTGACAACTGAGAAGTGCGTTGATAGACGGACAATCGAAACCCTTAAACGCACGTGCATAAACGCATGCATAATTGAAGCGCTTTGTGTTAGTGTGTGCATTGTTTGCCATTCGACTAATAAATAGGCAATCATCGAACATGCTGACGTCAGGCTAGGGAGGCAATGAAAACCCATGAACTAGTTTTGCTTAAAATAACTAGGTAAGAGCTAAAATGCGAGTGAATATGGAATGAAAACATTTGGGTATAAGTAGCTATAGGGAGTAGGCGTAGCAAGTGGCTATTGCGAGTAGCTGTAGCGAGTGGCTATAGCGAGTAGCTGCAGCGAGTAGCTGTAGCGAGTAGCTGTAGCGAGTAGCTGTAGCGAGTAGCTGTAGCGAGTAGCTGTAGCGAGTAGCTGTAGCGAGTAGCTGTAGCGAGTAGCTGTAGCGAGTAGCTGTAGCGAGTAGCTGTAGCGAGTAGCTGTAGCGAGTAGCTGTAGCGAGTAGCTGTAGCGAGTAGCTGTAGCGAGTAGCTGTAGCGAGTAGCTGTAGCGAGTAGCTGTAGCGAGTAGCTGTAGCGAGTAGCTGTAGCGAGTAGCTGTAGCGAGTAGCTGTAGCGAGTAGCTGTAGCGAGTAGCTGTAGCGAGTAGCTGTAGCGAGTAGCTGTAGCGAGTAGCTGTAGCGAGTAGCTGTAGCGAGTAGCTGTAGCGAGTAGCTGTAGCGAGTAGCTGTAGCGAGTAGCTGTAGCGAGTAGCTGTAGCGAGTAGCTGTAGCGAGTAGCTGTAGCGAGTAGCTGTAGCGAGTAGCTGTAGCGAGTAGCTGTAGCGAGTAGCTGTAGCGAGTAGCTGTAGCGAGTAGCTGTAGCGAGTAGCTGTAGCGAGTAGCTGTAGCGAGTAGCTGTAGCGAGTAGCTGTAGCGAGTAGCTGTAGCGAGTAGCTGTAGCGAGTAGCTGTAGCGAGTGGCTACAGCGAGTAGCTGTAGCGAGTGGCTATAGCGAGTAACTGTAGCGAGTGGCTATAGCGAGTAGCTGTAGCGAGTAGCTGTAGCGAGTAGAGCTGTAGCGAGTAGCTATAACAAGTAGATCTGTAGCGACTATCTATAGCGAGTAACTATTGCTCTACTCGCTATAGCTAGCTTCCTCGTCTAATAAATAGAACCTATAGCTCTATAAATATAAGTAGCAAGCGACTTCCAGCCAATAGTCGAATGCAAACAGCAAACAGCTTAGCAAATTGCTCTCGCCAAAGCGAAGCATAACGAGACGCATCCATTTTTCACAAATGTTGAGCTACCCGCTTTGCATCCCGCTTGCATTTCCGCTTTGGCATATTTAGGTTTTTTGTTTTTGCTTGTGAGTTGGGTTTCTTTTGTATGTGTGTGTGTGTGAGTGTGTAGTTTTTTCCATTTACCTGACGACAGCTCGACGGGTCGCATGCATCAACGCTCGCCAGCGACACGTTGACAGCGAAGAAGACGTAAGGGCAAAGGTAAAGAGTGGAAAATTTGCATTGCATGCGGCGACAGGCGACAAGCGAAAGGCGACAGGTTGGGCGCACGTTGAGCGTTTCACTAATTGCATTGCACATAACATTCCAAATGGTTTTATAATCTTTGCTTCCGTTAACAATTCATATGCCAGCAACAGCAACAACACCAACAACAACTAGAAGGTTTCCTTACGTGCTCTGGCCAACAGCTATTTTCTCACACACACACAAACAAAATCTCATTAGAGACGGCCGATGATTACCAGCACACACACACACACATACAGCCATACCCACATTCACTCACACACACATACACACGCACACTTTGCGGCACTCGGTGTAAGGCACAAGTTGCAAAGTTGATGGCTGCACTCACTCAACGTCGTCGCCCTGACACTGCCTGACACGCCCCCGCCACCCATACAGATTTGCCCAACATTTTGCACTTGCCACTGCCATTGCGTGTGCGTGTGTTGGTGTGTGAGCTTACCAGAATTCTAAACATTTATGAACTGTTGCGAAATATAAAAGTTTGCTGGCAACTATTTTGATGGGCCATTGCTTAAATGAGAGTTCGAAAATTGCGGTGGAAATTGAAACTGAAAGCGACATATTTTAGATTGAAACAAAAAGCGTAAAATAAGTTAAATTACCTATTGAAAAGGCAAACAAATTGTGTTTAAAGTTTAAGCATGAAGAGCTTTAATTGAAATTGAAATCGAAGTTGCAAGAGATTTACAAAGGTATATAATAGTTAGGGTAGATATTGAAATAAGCTTGGGGAAGATATACATATGTATGTACAAATCTATGAAAATTGAAGGGCAAGGCGAAAGAAAAGCAAAGAAAAGCAACAGAAAGTGCATATTGAAATTGAAATTGGATTGACATTGAAAGTGTTTGCGGTAGAAAAGAAAAACAGCGACAAATGGAAGCAAAGCTAAATTTAGAAATTGAAACTGAACTGGAAATGCAGGCTTAGAGAGTGTGAAAATGTAATATAATTTTAACATACATATATATACTATATGTATATAGAAATTCCAAATGGAATTTAGATCGAAGAATTTTAATTGAATGACAGCAAATGCAAAGTAAAGCAATTATCTAATTGCAGCAATTAACCCTAACAAATTGAATTGTTCCATACAAAGCAATGCAAGCAGAAGCAATTTTCAATATCAATTTGATTTGCATTCAATAATCATGCAGAATGCAATCAAATCGATTATTTTGCCTTGATGCCTGCGAGTGGAGCGACATTCCAGTATAGTATATATACATACATATACATGCACATATAAATATGTATATATATGTATATCAAATTCTATTTGAAAACTCTTTTAAAAATTGAAAAAGGGAACTCCATATTGTTAATCCATAACAAATTCGATGAACAGCTAAAATTGATTTTCTATGAAAATAGAACAAGGGACTGCGGCTGCAGGCGGTGTTTCAGCCTCGAGGAGGTCACCAGCTAAATGTCATAACAAAAGCTATTTATAAGTGAGCCGCACGGTTGCACATAAACGGCCAACCGTCACCTGCCCAAATGCTACATCGCACCCCACCCCCCTCTGGTCGCCCATTCCATTAGCCACCTCAGCTCGCACCCTCGGCTAATGCCCAGCGCGCTGAGATTGCAAGTCCGAGTACTGTGAAAGGCACGCAAGTCAACGGACATTAAAAAGTAATAAGCATAATTGTGAAATGTCACCATGATGGTGAGGGAGGGGGACGGGTAGAGGAGGGTGAGTGCCAGTGGGCGAGGAAGAGAAAACGAACAAAACAGCCATGAGCAAACTGAACAGACAGTGTAAGCACGAGCGAAAGAGACAGAGAGAGAGAAGGCGAATTGAATGTAAAGGCGCGTGACGTATACGGCACGTTGGCCCAACTTTGACCCAGAGCAGCTAAATTGTTTGGTCGACAGCTGGCGCAAAAGTCGGGCGCTTGCTTTTAATTATTCAACGATCTCGTAAGGGGCCCAGAGCAGAAGACGCCAACAGAGCGCAGCATAGAAAACATCGAGCAAACAACAACAAAATGCAAAGAAACATGTAAGAAGCAAACGCACAAACAACTGCAGCAAACTGCAGAAGCAGCAGCAGCAGCCGACCAGATGTCGCCTGAATCGGGCCGCTCACGCCGCGCTGCGATTGCCCTGTGCCAATTGTTCGCCCAGCAGAAGGAGAAGCAAAAGCGCATAAAACAGAAAGAAAAAAGAAGGAATTGAAAGAAAAAGTAACAAAAACAGCCATGCATAAGGCTTGAATGGCAAAGCGAAAAATAAAAATAAAAAAAAAAGTTTGCGGTGCTTTTGCCGCCGCCGGCGTCGGCATCGACAACGGCAACGGCAGCGACATCAGCATCGGCGTCGGCATCGACGTCGGCGTCCGGCGTCCGTTCAGTTGTCCGGAAGTTGCTTACAACTTCGAACCCTGCTTCAAGTGGGCAGCCGCAGCCGCAGCCGCAGTCACTGCAACTGTAACTGTAACTGTAACTAAAACTGCACTCAGCTATGCAACTAACGGTGAAAGTGGCAAGACTGGCGACGCATGGACTATTCAGCTCGACTCGACAATTGGGAGGGGTGCAAGGGGCGAAGGGAAAAGTGTGTAAGGTCGAGGCCCATACACTGCGCCTACGTCATGAGGCCCAGGCAACACGAACGAGCACAAGCTCGACTCAAACATGCGCCAAGTTCTATGCTAAAAGCTTTCAGAGTCCGCACAAAAAGCTCATTGCAACGAACCTGCGACAGGCTTGCAACATGTTTGCTGCCGCTCTGCAACTCGAACCAAACTTGATCCTAAACGCACCTGAACGAAGTCCATTCGAACCAATCGAAAACATGAATTCAGAGTGAAAATCTAAACTGTAGCTTCGAGGGAAAGTCTGGGGTCTAGAGGCGGTGCAGCACAGCAAGTAGAGTCAGTGGAGTGATTGGAATCTTGAGTGAAGAACCAAAGCGAGCTAAGCTTAGAAATGGTAAAGTCTAGAACGGGTAGAGACACTAGAGCGACTGAATCTATAGACAAAAATTTAGACTCAGATTGCTCACAGTGAGTCTAGACCGAGCAAACTTTAGAAAATAGAGGCCGAGTAGAGAGTCTACACCGAGTACAGGCTAAGCCGAGTAGAGTCTATACCGAGTAGACAATAGACCGAGTAGAGAGTCTAGATCGAGTAGAGTCTAGACCAAGTAGAGTCTAGACCGAGTAGAGAGTCTAGATCGAGTAGAGTCTACACCGAGTAGAGTCTAAACTGAGTAGAGTCTAGACCGAGTAGAGTCTATACCGAGTAGAGTCTAGACTGAGTAGAGTCTAGACCGAGTAGAGTCTAGACTGAGTAGAGTCTAGACCGAGTAGAGTCTAGACCGAGTAGAGTCTAGACCGAGTAGAGTCTAGACCGAGTAGAGTCTAGAC